AATGGCAATAACTCCGGTGTATATCATATGTATATGTATATATAATGTGTATAATGTGTGAATTACTGCTAATTTATTAAATCAACCATCGTGGCACTTACGCGCGCACGCGCACGTCGACGGAAAGCTTACTTGAACTGGTTTCACGACGTGTGCCGTGTGCGCCCATGCCCCATTCATTCTAGTTCGAAACCCGACGGCGGACGGTACACATACCGCGTAAATCGTCTGGACGCGCCGCTGTACAGTCCGCGACGACGCGATTTTAAGTTTCCGCACATAAAAACAACATATTATACACACACATAATTATATAGATAAAAAATATATTTGCACTCGAAATCTCGTCATTTTCGGTCTTAAGTTTTTATTCCGTTCTTATAAATAATAATGTGAATACACATCGTTTACGATCGATTTACGTACCTATATTGTTTTTTTTTTTTCAATCGGTCGGTTGTTATTTCGTTTCTTACCTAATTACCTAACCCCATCACGTGAGGTGGTCGGTGTTTTTTTTCTTTAAAAATTAAATTAACATTTTTATCGCTCGCGCAATAAAAATTATCAGTGTGCATTCGAAAAACAATGCGTGCATCTCTGGGACCAGGAAATTACATTTGAAACGTTATTGCCGCTCTATCTTTGGAAACTAACGAATTCCGACCGTGCCTTACCTATATACCTACGATCACCTATTAAACTCGTCAATACTCCACACGGCCTTACATCGTGAGTACTGAGTAGATATTATTCTCGTCATAAATCACCGAATGGTTTGTTAGTAAAAATAAATAAACCTTAAATTTAAGTGAAATGTAACTTAATTTTTATATATTTGGTTATACCTAATGTTACTCGCCACAAGAATATCGAGTACCTATCGACTGTGTCTGTCGATATCTAAAATTCTCATTTTGCACACACACACGTCGATAAACACAATAATGATAAAATACAGATTACCTATTTATGTATATCTATAAATGTCAGTATTTATGCAGTTACTATAGAAGTTATAAGTAGACACATAATTGGATACTTGGATATCATCCCGCTTAAGTAAAAGTAAAACCTGCAAAAATAAAATATGCAATGATGTCGCGAACACTCGACCCCGTTTCAAAATTTAAGAGTGAACGAGATATCTACGATATACACGCAGGTACCGTTAGAGTAGAAGATGACAGTAGTGAAACATAATGGTCGATCTTGAATATTCCGAATACAATAATAAAATTGTACCTACCTATTAAGTATACAATATATCTATTATTAAATTTTAGATTTGACAATGTGTATCCCACAGTTTATGGCTATATACTAATTAGTATTATACACATGTTCCAACCACTTTTATATCTATATTCTACATTTCTACATAATGTATCTACTAGTGGTATTAGTTTACTATTTAGAAATCGAAATAAATGTTATTGGTTAATTCTTTTATGATAAATAATATTAGATAAAAAATACATTGTTTATCCCACATTTAACTGCAGTAAAATGTATAGGTATAATGTCTGTGGTATACCATGTAAAATAAATATAATAGACGAACATACAATAATAAGAAATACATTGTTATAGGTATAGGTACACTGTTTTGTACAAGCTGAAATGCTGAATAGACTTGTAATATAGCCTACAGGTAAAGGCGTAACTCAATTTAAAATTCTCAAATACGTCTTATTAGTTTACTGTTTTACGCGGCAATCGATTAACAAGTATATAATATAAACAACGAGTCACTCACATTTTGAGTAAATGTTACAGGTGAATCATGAGTGTTATGTTTTTGTTTGTTTGCATTACCTACCTATACATATTTATTAACTATTTTTAAAGCGTGTAAATACGTTAGTACAAATTATTAGTGATTTTAGATTTATATTATTTTATCTCGTTTATGTTATTTCCATGAACGACAATTTAAAATAATATGATGCGTATAGGAGATAGCCACATAGGTATACCGTATACGTATAAATAACGTGAGCAGGTCGTGTGAGTGGATGGATTGAATATTAATCAGTCCAATCAACTCGGGTATGGAATAATAAATGTGTATGAAAAACATCAATGACAAAGCGCCGGACACTATAGAGACAACATAATATACAGTATAAAATTATAAATGTAAATTGAAACTCGAGCGTACCTATAACGATTCAGCTAAAATAAAAATAACCTAAATGACAGTACCTAATTTATAAGCGCCATTTAACGACGAAGGTATAGGATTCATTAAAAAAATTAAAAACTTAAAAATAAAGTTTACGGAATGAAAAAAAATAATACATATAAATATGTTATAATTATTTATTATACAAACAAATAACCACCCAAATAACAGTTTCATTCGTTTTGAACTTTGGAATAAAAGAAATTTAAATTCTTCGAAACCGACATTAATGTTTAATAGACAAGAATTGCCACTCCTTATTATTAGTATAATTTATTTCTAGACCGAAAACAAAAAGCATCATTCATTATAACTTATAATTGAAACGCCAAAATCGTATTTCTTAGTGCACTAGATCTATTTAATAAAAAATGGCAAAACTAATAATTTTGTTACCAGATATCGTATAAAGATCGTTAAAATTAAATTAAAGCAGAACTGGATCCGTGACCTCGGCCGTGGCATTGGTACTGCTCTTAAACGACTTTAATAATTATTATTATTTATTACAGACAATTAACTTATATTGTCATAATAAATTAGGCAATAATAATTAAGTCATAAATAAAATTCTTAAAAAATCGAAAAGATTCATACCTACACAGATAATATGCTTTTTAACTCCTAAAGGCTGTCTACAAACGTATACTTATAACCAGTGATTAATAACTACCAAAAATAGTTTGCATGAAGCTTATTTTACTATGTAATTTGTGTAATATTGAAAGATTATAAATACAAAAACCTCTAAAGATGGTGCTGCAGTAGGACCTACCTATACAGTGTATAGTATACACTATATAAGCTAAATTAGAAATACATGCTGTGTTCATTTTGGTAAACGTACAATGTGTATCACCATTGTTAAAATACCAATACAAGAAAATATAAATCCAAAAATACAAAGTCCACGAGGTAATGAATCTTCATGAGATTATTAAAGCAAAATGTTAAAAAAATAATATTAATACTTAAATATTTTTAATTTTACTAAACATTTTTAAATATATATTTTATCAATTACATATTTTCAACATAAAATTCACGAATTTTTACAGTTTAAGGATTTCGGAAATATATAATTGTTTACTTTATGTGGTTTGTAGTTCCAACAGCGTTTCAATAATTTAAGCCAACATAGGTATAGAAAATAATAACAAATTTACATATACCGTATATGTGAATATATATATATATGTGAATATATATATATATATGTAATATATGTATATATATATATATATATATCAAATTGTGTAGCTGGATAGGTTAGCTTAATAGATTCACTTACCAAAGGACCTCGTGAACCAGTTAATCTAAACACACACACACTCAATTATATTAATAAACTGATTCGTTTGTACTATTATTGTTTTACACGCACAAGTAATAAATTCGTATTTGATTCTGGTGCTTAATGATTACCGAATTAACAACAGAGAATGAAATAAAAATAAAATACGTTTTACCAAACGTTATGTGACGACTTTCTTTTTATTTATTATAGTTTGTCATATTCATATACTTTTTTAATGTAAAACTACATCGTTAAGTCATCTTCAATGTATATATTTGTTGTGCTATAAAAGCTAAAATTCGTATCAATGAAAATAAATATTTAGCCCCACAAACTCAATGATGAATAAGATATTAAAATATATAATATATATTATCATATATTAGTCAAACGTAATTTATGTATAAAATCTCGATATTTCTCGGCTGCCTTGACATTTTTACTGGCAAATTATTTCTTAATACAGTACTACAGTGTTTAAACTATCAATTGAAACGATGATACTGGTCAAATGGTGTTTTAAACAATATGTTGAATAAAAAAGCAAAACAAATATTTGCATAGATGCATTAAAATTTCCAACAGAAGACACCTAAATAACGTACAACATTAATTTACTTCACACCATACTCAACTCATAAGATTTTATACTATTTAAACAAAAACAAAAGTTGAGTTTTCGGTGAGCAATAGTATCTGATGAAGATAAAAAGTAGTTTCCGTTAGATGGTATTTATTATGATATGGTAAAAAAAAATGAATTAACTCAAACAAGGTATAGCTATAAATTGCCTATAATATATCGTATAATACGTTTAAATGTTTATTAAAATAAATAACACAATAGTACCTATTTCATAAAAATTAGTTATGAGTCACTTACCTGGTACTACAGTCTACATTTGAGGTGTTATAATATAGATTAAACAAAGCCAACGTGGGTAACGTACATATTATTTTTTAATTTTAACTGAGTTATCTTGATATTGTTGATTATTATATAACAGAAGATATAAACATATTAGGTAGGTAAATTTAAAAACTATACCTAATCTAATAAATAATTTATACTACCTAATCTATGTGTATTAAATACTATCCGAATGCTAGAAATCTATTGCAAATGTCAATAATGATAAATAATAATCAAGCCACAGGACATAAATGCATAATTATTGACTGTATCATTTTATGTATCTACTCATCAGTGGCGTAGCCAGGATTATGAAATGAGGGAGGGGGGTCAGGTATAAATCAAACCAAGTTTTTTACAGTTTTCGTACATAAATAATAAATTTGTCAGGGGGAAATATCAATAGGGGGAGGGGGTAAAAACCCAAACCCCCCTACGCCACTGTTACCTATATTAATCATTATGAAAAAATTTACTAACGGAAAATAAAATTCTATAAATATTTACCTAATATTATATAGTATTCCGTCAATCGAACTCCAGAAGTGTATAATTATATATTATGTGGTATTCACATATCTCCTTTTTTAGTGACTTAAACGATGGGAGACAAATCTCGCAAAAACAGCGTCACTCAGGATGTGGAGGCTAATGGCACATCAGATCAACAACAACAGGTGGAAGCTGTGGCCAAAGCCGTGCACGGCCATCCGGTATCCGAACATCCAACCACGTGAGCACCGTTTTTCTGTTTATAAAACATAATAATATAGTAGAAAATTAAAACAAATTTACCGTTGTTTAAACAATATAACTCTGTTTGCAGATACTGTGAGACACTAATGCATCTCTTAAAAGGCAACATCGGTTGTGGTATGTTGGCCATGGGAGACGCATTTCGCAACGGAGGCCTTTTGATGGCACCGATTCTCACAGTTTTCATTGGAACCGTGTGCATTTACAACAATCACATACTGGTGCGTAGATTCAAATTTCACGAAAATTAAGTATAATAATTAATACGGTCGATTTGACTTCAATTTGGTCGATGAATACTATTATGGTACCTAGCTGTTAATAACATAATCGGGTGGTGTGATTTTTGGGGGTTGAGTTCTATCATTTTTGGCAGATATATGAACATGCCAAGGCCTAAATGGATGTTATATTAAATTTCATTCGTAGTATTTTCCTATAGTTGAAACAAAAGTCGATAACGGGTCATGTGGGAATATTGAGATGGCACATATAGGCGCTGAATTAAGTATAATAATATTACGTCGGTTTATATAATATGGTGTAACTAGTATACATGTATGACGCAGTCACCATACTTACAAGTTACAACTGTTACAACTTTGCAAGACATCGAGTTGCTAATTGCTATATGGTCCGCGATGGGTAATTTATATTTTTAGCACGTGGACAATTGAGTTTGTTGCAATATGAAGGATGGGGTCAGCTGGTTGTCTGCTGCAATACCAATAAAACTTGTAAATTACCATTTAGCACCACTGTATCGATTAGCAATACATTTTGTACACGACAAATTGTTCTTTCACCCCTTCCCCCGCCCCAACTCTACAGGGAATGTGTTCAACTGTGACCATACAATTTACATTATGTTTTACTCATTGCGGTAATTCAATAAAATAATGATGCGACATGTTTGTGTAATTTTATAAAATAAACAATAATATTAAATTTGTTTTTACTGCAGTTAAACGTCGCTCATAAGCTGAAGAGCCGACTGAAACTCGAACACTGCCCAACGTTCTCGGAGACTGTCGAACTGTCCTTTGCGACTGGACCCAAGAGCTTGCAGAAGCATGCGGACGTGTTTAGGTATGCGTGTAGTGAAGCAACCATGTTATTATTAACTGCAGAGTTCAGCAGACATACATGGGATAGAGTGCATCATAATAATATAATAACCGTGGAATGCTATTTTTTTTTAGGACCACCGTCAACGTATTTGTCATAATCACTCAGTTGGGATTCTGCTGCGTGTACATACTGTTTGTGTCCAGCTCCATTAAGCAGGTATAGGTTCCTATAATATTATAGTACAGTTGTAATATGCTGTGCTTTATAATATGCAGAATACTGCCGATAGATTACTAGGTATTTACTCGGATAAAAAAACTAGATAAACGCAAATACGCCAAATAAAAGATTAAACAAAAAATACACGCATAATAAGTAACTAGGCCACTAGGAGGATAATTTCAGAATTTAGCCCGGAATGTAAAATACTAAAATATATCTTTATATTTTATCTTTGACAGAAAGACTTATCATCTAACGTAGGTTAGGCACAAATGAAAACCTAACCTACGTGCAATGTACATTCATAGGTACTTACTTACAAAATATAAAAATATTATATATATATTATTATGATTTGGCAAAAGGAAATTTAGAAGATAAACACAAAATATAAAGGAGGAATTTATTTAAAACAATTATCACTAAAAATATCTAAGACCTTCAAAATGTTAATTTTTATAATAATTTTTGGTTGGGCACCCGTAGGTATCTGCCATGCCCGGGTGTGGGATGGCGGCACTTGTTCTCCGGACACCGTGACTTGTCCGAAGAAAAATGTCACCCATGACCAAGGAATCGAACTAGAGTCGGCTGCGTCGCAGCCGACGCCTTAGTCCGCTCCGTCCCCCATATAGGTACATTTTTGTTTGTCTATTTAAACATTTTAAAACGTAAGCTTTATTTGAAAAATGCAATCTAAGGTCCCGCCTTAAATTTGACTTAATTAGGTACCACTCCTTTGCAGTAAGTAGGTACCTACTATTACTATTATTCCAAGGATAATTTCTCGGCTTTGTATCCCGAATGTTTTTCATCAATTACATTTTTTATCAAACAGTTTTGCGACGAATATGGAACCGTGCTGGATATTCACATCCACATGATTTTTGCTCTGGTGCCCATAATGTCGTGCGCCATGATTAGGAATTTGAAATTCATCGCACCCCTGTCGACCGCCGCCAACATATCAATGGCCATTGGTCTGGGCATTATTCTGTCGTACTGCGTAGTGGACTTACCAACCCTCAACTCCAGAACGGCCGTGGCCCATTGGTCGCAAATCCCCCTGTTCTTCGGCACGGCCATTTACGCTTTCGAAGGAATTAGTCTTGTAAGTGTATACTCCGTCGTAATAACACGATCCACCAAGAAGACAGTGCCACCAGATTTCCAGATCTGGTCATTTTTTGATCTTATTTAACATCAGTTATATTTGTATATATTCACAGGTATTGCCCCTGCAATTGGAAATGAAAACACCTAATAGATTTGCGTCAACTATGGGTGTGTTGAACGTCGGCATGACCATCGTGACCTTTATCATTCTGACCATGGGCTTTGTGGGATTCTGGCGGTTCGGCGACGACGTTAAAGGAAGTCTCACGCTCAACCTCCCACCCACTCTCATGTAAAAATAAAAATAACACTTACCTACACGGTTACACGTTATAGATGAGATGACGCTGTTTTTGATACCTATGAAAAATACACTTTTTTCAGCCTTTCAAAAATCGTGGTCGGTCTGATGGTGTTCGCAATCATCTGTACTTACACACTGCAGTTTTACGTGCCCGTCGCTATCTTATGGCCATCGGTACAAGAAAAATATGGACCGTTCCAATCGCCCGCCCTCGCCGAATATCTTTTGCGCGCCGTACTAGTTTTTGCTACATGTAAATTGTCATTTTATAATAAATTATTATTGTATCACGACACGTGATTTTAAAACCATATAATGTGTGATTTTTGTGTTTTGTCACAGTTTTGGCGGCGGAAGTGATACCTCATCTGGCACTGTTCATATCGTTGGTCGGGGCCATCGCCAGCACGTTCTTGGCCCTAATATTCCCACCTATATGCCATATGGTTGTCTGGAAGGACGAAGGATTTGGAGCGTTCAATTGGAAACTTCACATGGACATCATTACTATAGTCTTAGGCCTGTTAGGATTCGTAACTGGTACATACTTCAGTTTACACGACATTATAGTTGCATTTAGCAAAGATTTTGGTTTCCATTGATCGAAATGGCTGCCAATCTCAATCACCTAATAGACTTAGTAAATGCACTGTTATGTTTTTAAATATTTTATTATTATGACCTATATTTATTATATTGTTGAGTTAAGTATATTATATTTAAAAGTTAGGAAATCACATTACAACGCTCCACCAAATTTAGAACAAAGACTTTTAATTTGTTTGTAAATTATTTCTGTTTATTGTCTAATAAAATAAATTAATAAGTTTTTATTTATTCTAAACAAGTAGTATTAAAAATTAACAACATATAATGTATATTATAATTCTGTAATAGACTAATAATAGCCATGAATCCAACATCATAATAATGGGGTAGTTTTAATTCGTTTTCTTTGACTTTTTCGTTGCCTTTTTTGGCGCCGTCATTTGTTGTACTTTCTGAGGTATCTCGGTGAATATGATTGTACCAATAAATACCAAAAGAGTTCCAATCCAGTGGTACAAAGTGAATGGATTGCTGAAGTACAATATACTAAACAATAAACTGGCAAACTTTCGCAATGTTATAACCAATGTTACTGTCAACGACGAACATTCAGTTGTTAAAAAGTAAACTGAACTGATGCAAACATATCTATGAAAATTTTGTTAAGAAAATATCTTAAATGTATGTAAAATATTTTGGCATATAAATACATGCTTCCTTTTGTAAATATTTTCATTGATTAACGTTTCAACATCAAAGGTTATTATTAGCCACTTTATAATTAAAGCTAAATACAAGTTATAATATATTAGTTAATGAAAGTTTTTAACTTGAGTTTATTTTCTGAAAATGTATTTAATTGTTACATAATTTAAATTTGCGCTTAGGTACATGGTAGTTGATCACTATGTCTTTGATTATTAGGTTTTCATTGTATACGTATTATGCTGTTTAATAAAATTATAAATTCTCCCAACATAGTATTTATAATTTATCACAAAGAAAATTTGAGATGATTGGCTATCTTGTCATATGCGCTCTACCGGCTACATTGCGACTGCAGTATGAGCTCTACCGTGTTTTGCCACTCTACAATTATATTTAGATTTTAGACAATAGTATATTCTCGTAATAAGTGGGATGATGTAAAAGTGGTTTTAATGAAGATCTGGAGCAATGAAGCAAATCTGGAGTGGTACCACACATATTTTTCACAATTTTTAGCTTCAGAGGCCGACATAAACTTTCAATCCTTTGGGTATGTGCCTTTGATATTGGATCTACGAAATTAACGTAAAACGACTTAGTGATTGTAGCCGTGGTTCGAGAGTCCATTATACCCTGACCAGCTATCGGAATATATTGTAGACCCAACAATAACCTATCTTTTTATAATTTAGTGCAAAGTAATTTAGTCCCTTTTTTGGACAATGATAGCCGAATACCCATGGTCCATCAAGCCGTCTTCCATAGTTTCTTGCTCCGTTTTCTAGAGGATCAAGGACTAAATATGCGATCAAAAATTATATGATGCAGGAAAAGAGAGTCCTAATCTTTATTACCACATTAATAAAGATATAAATTGCATAGTAGAGCGCATATATAACAAGTGTCCCTTAATCGCAGGTAGACCACAATCTGGGGTAGAGCGCATACGACAAGATAGCCAGATGATTTAATGATTTGTTAAAATTTAAAATGTATTTCTCAATGGCCAAATCCTGCCTATAAAAATATTCTACATTTTAGCACTTATTTACAAAATATTAACATTAACATTCTACATTGACATAAAAATAAAAAATAAAAATGTAATATGTATAAGCTAAAATTTAACCAAGCTTATTTTTTCTTTATAGAAAAAATCTACAGTAAAACTACAGATATTTGTTTTTAAATTACAACAGAATAACAAAATATATTTTATCGAAAATTAGTTATAAATAAAATTGCCTGTGTTGCCTTTCTTTTATTATTTTTACCTTTATACATTGGACCTAATGACCTAACTTCCAAATCACTATTCCACCAGAAAATTTATTGTAACTAAAAATAGCATTTTTACTGCACAAAAAGATGGCAACACACAAAAAAAATATTGCACATTCATTGCTATGCTCAGAATCTAAAATAATATTATATTTATTTTATAAATTCAAATTGGTAAAAATTAACTCATATTCCTTTTCATATACCATATCCCACAAAAATCAAGGTATTAAAAATCTCCTGTAAAAACAAATTCCCTCATCCACATGCATACAAATATAAATATATAATATCAAATATCAAAAAATAATAAAGGATACTGTGTGAAAACATTACCAGTAAGATAAATAAGGGTACTCGGTATACCAAATCCTATGAATGGCAATGGTTCACTTTCAAAAGCCATTAATGCATGTTCCTTAAGATTGGAGTATAAAAACAGGAACCATGGAAGTGGTATCAAATGCTAAAATTAAACAAATATATATTATTTACAGTTGTAAAAATGATTATAAACATGGGTACTAGTGGTAGATGTAAAAACTATAAAGTATAAAACAATAAAACATAAAATTTAAATTTTTACATGCAATGCATTTATTTATAATATGATGAATGTAGAATTTAGAAAAAAAACTTTATAATATAAATTACAATTTTTGAATTTAAGAAGATAATGGGCAAATACACTTTTTGAGAATGTTTGCAACTGTTATATTATAATAAACAGGTGGAGTTCAATTATAGGAGTCAAAGTTTATAAAAATAATAAGTTGAACTTTTACCACTTAAACTAAACATTGTGTTACTTAATTAGATAATATGATTACATTAATACAAAGAAGGTATAATAATAATTTTAATCAGCCATTCATTTCATAAAAGCGAAAATATTTAAGCATGTAAAATAATAAATATATAAATTGAATCGGTCTTGGTAACTTTGTAATTTATTCTAAACACCAATCGACTCAATTAATTAATGATTCATTGAGTGATACTCACTATATTATAATTTATAAATAATACTGATTTTACCGTGACTTGTGAAAAAATACATTTGTATTACAGACAACAAGAATTGTCCAATGCTTCAATACATTTAAAATGCCACTAGAAGATAAAAATACTAGTTTTAAAACTCAAAACTATAATAATGCTGAGTATTAATAATATTAAATTTGAGGCATTGCCTATTATTCTATTACTCTTAATTTTCCTATTTTTTTCTTTTCATAACAACCATTTTAAACTGTATTAAAACTACTAAACTAGTCTAAACCTCACAAATGTATTAATAGACTGTTTTTTTTGTGGTATATTTTTCAAAATAATATTATTTAATTAAGTCACTTCTTTATCATAGTTAAATACTTACAGTATAAAATAAAGCTTCTTGTGGATGTTTACCATGCTTTTTATATAATGTTTCTTGGTATATACCCATGCGAGCAGAAATGAACAACGCAATAGTCAAACATGCAATTCCTAAAATATTATTTTTGTTAAATTACTAAACATGTTTAATTATAATATGTTGAATAACATACTATTATAGTGTTCAATATTGAAAAATACATACCTAAGCACCACCAAAAGAAGTCTTCCAACTCTGATGTGTTTTGCACAACACCGTGTACAACAGTTTTTTTCTAATAAAAAAAAAATGTAAAGTATTTACTTAGCAATTATGTATTGAGCAACACTTACAACATCTTGACTTGATACGATTGTACATATTGTAATACCAGCTGAGATCATGCCCACAGAAATAAACTTGTCAAGTGTATACTTTTTCTTTAATATAATCACTCCCATAACCATATTTGCTATTAATGAGCCCTGAAAAGTAAAGGTTTTGATTATCTACATGATAATATACAAACGGATAGTTTCATATTCTCATTAGGATAGGCTGGTAAACTATTGATTAAATGTACAGTATAAAATAATTAAACAAAAAAGGTAAGTGTTTAAATAAAAGTATTAATTAACTGTATCTCAAAAGTGGTTATGTCATCATTCAAAATATGTATCACTATCATGAGTCTTTATAGACTTGGTGCTAATAATTATGATGTGGTATTTATTCTCCTCAATGATACTAATAAACAAACATTCTTTTTATCGGTTGTAGTTATTTTAAATTAAATTCCAATCTAAAAACTCTTGAAATCGTAATGGATTTAGGATTGATAATTTATTACTATAGGCACCATTAACAATTATTTAACTGAAATTAAACTGTTTGTAAGATTTTTTGATCTTTGGTCATATAAAAGTGTATAAATATTAGTTTGTATATAAACATACCGCTCTGAAGATCATATGTAGTGGCATAGCAATATTCAAATCAAAAGCATAATTGTTTAAAACATTAGTTACAAAGAACATCGCCACTAAGATCATGTACCCTCTGTAAAAAAAATTTAAATAAATATAAATTATCAAATAATGAATCTGCAATTAAAATTAATTATTTAAAAATAAAAACACAAATAATTAATTCAACAGAGTTGACTTATTTTTAAAGTGTACGGCTACAGTGAAATCTGTATACAACGGACAGACGGGACCATCAAAAGTGTCCATTATAGAAATGCTTCTACCAATTATATTGAATATTAATTATACTTTTAGCCGGGACATTATCATATTGTCCATTTGAAAGAGGAGTATATACAGGTTTCACTGTATCATGGTACAAGTTTATTTTTTCCAACAATTTGTTTTTATTGAGACAGCACAACGAAATATATTAAATAAAATTAAAATATTTTATCAGCAGTATGAAGTATAATAAGTGATTATAGAGAACAAATGCAGTTTAGCTCAAAAAAAATTTACAAAAATCACTTGTGAGCTTACTTATATTTATTTTTCAATATAGATTCATGGAATAACTGACATATGCATAAAATATGCAAAATCGAGGACTTCAAAAGATTATAACTTTCAAAATAAGTTTGTCTAACAAATTCAGATTGCACCATTGTTCTTAACTTGTTGAAATACAAAGGTTTCCAAAAAAAATTTCCAAAAATCACTTGGGATCTAAACTGCAATTAATAAATACCAATTGTATTCATCATTCAGTATTTAAATACTATATACCTATATAATTAAAAAAACAATAAAAATCATAACATATAGGCAATATAACTGTTTGGTCTAATTGAATTGGGAATTTTAAAAAAGGCCATCTCAAATGTTTATCAAAATTGACTTGTCCACGTTTTTTTCATTTACACATATAGACCGATATTTTATGAACAAAAAGAGCCCATATCTGTTTCAATTTTAAATCTCTATAGTCCTCGTACAAATTTTGAAAAGGACTCATCTCGGATAACTTAATGAATCACTTTTCCAATCAAATTTATTAAATCAATAGTATTATATTACATAATAAGATGACATAATAGTCTGTAATTTTAGAAAAATATCTAAAATTAAAATGAAAATCAGTTTTTGAGTTTAGATATGAGCCCTATTCAAAATGCCCGATTCAATTACAAAATATTTAAACAACATTGGGCAAAAAAATATTTATAACCCTACGCTTATAATATATGTTACTATACTCATAATTGTGTTAAATATAAATTAATACATACTTGACACTGATGCTTGGTTTTTTGGTACCACATTTTGCAGTGAATATAAATCCATGTAACGCTATTAGAAAAAATTGGGAAAACGTAATCAAATTTCCTATGCCAGGATCTTCTCTAAAATTTAAATCATACAAATTTTACTAAATTTCCTATAGGTAGATAACATTATTAAATGAATACATACTTAACTAAAAGTTCCAAAAAAACAACATTGCTCATACATCCAAAAAACGTAGACCCAATTGCCACGGGTATACTCATTTTACAGAGTATATTAAAACCTGATAATTTTTTTATGAATAAATGACTTGTGTCAAGTTGGTTGACCAAATCTAGTTGACCGTTTTTCGTATGACTAGTAAATACTATTAACTAACTTGGAGACTTGATTATTATATTGAATTGTAATTAATTTTGATTTTCATATTGATATAGTTAAATCAGTCAAAAAGAAAAAGTATCAAGAAGTTCAAGATTAAAAAAAATTAAATTGTTCTTCTCTGCAATGTAGGACGATGACTAAAACTAAAAAGCAAATACTATTTAGCTATACTACTGCAAATTGTAAGTAGTAATTACGTAAATGATTATATACCGGCCGTTTCATGGTCATTTATATTTAGGTACCTACACAGCTGACGGTATAATACTATAATTTATAATCGTGTACGTAACCAAACACCTATGATAAATTAAAACTGAAAAAAAATAAGACAAAAAAACTTATTTTTATGTAATACGTACACCAAAATAAAAACTATAATAATTAATAACTGACTGAACCATTAGCACTTGTCAGATAACGGAAAACAGTATTCACACAATAGATAGTAATATTATGTATTATCATCTATGATTCACTGAGCAATCACTCGAATCTCGAGTATATTGAGATTGTCAAGACCACAGATATATACAATAATTATTGTATATTATTGTATATATCTGTGGTCAAGACACGTCTGTCTGTCGACCGTATATTATTATATTGTATATCATGGTTTTAAAACCTCCTCACAGATGGCGCTTCGTCGTTGGGGCACTGTATAATTCGATTCAGTTTCTGTGTCATTAGTACCTATTGTTATTATTATTTATTTACTTAATTTCATACGCCTAAACTGTAAATAAATAGACGCCCCCCTTCAGTGGCGTAATTAGGAATTTGGTTTGGGGAGGATATACGTTTTTAGCAAACATTAATGGTCATTACCAATACTTTGATCAAAATGTTATCAGTAAAAAAAAAGTTTTGAGGGATCAATCCCCTAATCTCCCCTAATTACGCCCCTGCCCCCCCCCCCCCGAGTGTCGGCCACTCTTATTTCCAGTCGGAATTTTATAACAATCTCAAGAAGTAAGACGTATATAACCTAAAATTTTTAATTTTTTAATTTTTTCATTGAACTATAACGATGGTTGTAAATCGACAATCATAATGATTAATGGCTATCAATAGGTAGATATTATTATGCTATGCTCTTATGCATAATAATTCAACACATAAATACACATATTAATAACTAATGTGTAATAATATAATAAACATAAAAAGATTCGGAGAGCGTATTTTTGTGTACAAAAATTGCATTGGCACCGGGCGAAAAATAACTGAAAACTTAAGCCAGATAACCGGCAACATTACTCTCAATAGATTATCTAATTAATATATATGATGCCAAAGTATCGAACAATTGACATTATATATAATTTAAAAATTACTATAGTATAGGTACATCATAATGTGATATTTTAAGTCCAGCCTTAATTTGTTAATTTATCTTGCATTGCCAATATATTATAAAAGTTGCATGCCAATGCGTTATTATTATTATTATTTTTATTGTTCTTAATTAACATCAGCTACAATGGCCGTTAGTTACAATTTAAAATTACAATTTTGTTTTGAATTTTATTATATAATATAACTGTATACCAGGCGCGCACCCAGAATTTTTGCTTGGGGGGGGGCTTAATAATTTTTCTTTTTCCCTTACACACAAGTAAACAATTAAAACTAATTTTTAAATAACCAATTTTGTAAAAAATCGAACAGACTGAATTATCTAAACGAGATTTTCATGCCACAGACAGTCGAAAGTCATAATTATCATTGTTATCGTAGTTAACAATCAAAGTCGATCGTAAGTAATCGTTATTGTATCTATAAATCTAAAAATAATTTTCAACGAAATAAAAATCGACGATAGCCACCGTAGAGTAGGTATATTGATTGTCACAAACTCACAAACCTTATCGCGTAGTATTGAACTATTATGTACCGTAAGAGCGGGATACTTTGCTCTTTTTTAGTTTGAACCTATACTATAGCTTCAATAACAAAGATAAAAATTACCTGTTCGCGTTGTTTTATATGTATAGATGTTAAGAGGTAAGAACAATTCAAAAAAATCCGAATGTCGTACTAGTGACTTACTTACTTATTCCCAAAAGTTTGGAGCAAAGTTAAAATACATTGCAGGTTACATTGCACAATGATTAAAATTACCTTACTTTAATGCATATAATAACTATTGGTGCAATGTTTAGTGCTTGTGTTTTAACTTATTTGAACCTATACTTAATATAATTTAATAATATATTTTTTTTTTTTTTAGTTGATTAAAAGTCTTTTTTCAATACATTTTAAATTAAATTTCAATCCCCTAGATTTTGGATAACTTTTCCGTTATATATTTTTGTGTTTTTGAAAACCATTTTTTACATGATATACATCTTGGAGGAAAACTAATAGATTCATGTCCGTAATGTTTGAAAAAATAGTAATGTTAATAAGAATAATATAAAAAAACTACAATCTCTGATCTCAAAATCGTAATGTGCTACGATTGATATCAATAAAAATTTTTTTTGGAGCAATGTTTAACCCCTGGAGTGAAGTATCCCGCTCTTATGGTATATATCAGGGGTCGGCAACTGGCGGACCGCGGTCCGGATCCGGACCGCGGAAGGCAAAACTATGGACCCTGTCAACACGTCATTGTACTTCATTATGTTATTTTCTGTAATAGTATTATTATTAATACAGACATTTATTTTATTTTATTTATCAAACTCAGATTATAGTTATATCATAATTTATTGAAAAATATTTTATCGGGCAGGTAATAATCGGTTTTATTACAATGTTATCGGCCGACGGCCGAGTCGCAACAATACCAAATATTTCGATTTTCTAAAAACTCCGAAGAACCGACGGCGTAAAATTATATTTGTTGCTTATCGTTAACTAAATCGTTAACTATTTAGTTTTAGTACGTGTACATTCGCCGGTGGATACAGTGCGTGTTTCGTTTTATATTATTCGTTCAATATGTTGAGTAAAAAACGCAAAATCGACAGCGAAAATAGGAAGTTTATGAACGAGTGGACTGAACTATATTGTTTTATATTGCCTGAAAGGGTTGGAGCCATTCCAGTCTGTTTAATTTGCAATTCAACTGTCGCTATTATTAAAAGTGGAAATTTAAAACGGCATTATGAAACTACTCATAAAGATTTTCATACAAAATTTCCTCCAGGCAGTGAAGTGCGTAAAAATAAGCTCCATGCATGTATGTTATCTTACAAAAATAGTACGACTACACTTATACGGTGTATGAGTGAACAAGAGAAATCAACTGAAGCAGCGTTGCGTGTGTGCTGGGTTCTTAATAAGCACCAAAAACCGTTTTCCGATTCCGAAATAGTAAAAGAGTGTATGTTGGAAGTGGCCACTGCACTTTTTCAAGAAAATAAAAAAATCGTTACCTCTATCCAAGATATTCCTTTGTCGGCAAGGAGTAACACAAGAAGGACAGAAATGTTGGCAGCCGAAAACAAAAAAAGCTTATTTGAACTTTTACATAAGTCACCGTGCTACTGCATTGCGCTTGATGAATCTTGTGACTTAGTTGATTCTGAACAAATGTCAATTTTCGTGCGATTCTTTGACATTGAAAATAAAGTGTTTAGAGAAGAGTTACTAGCAATATTGACATTTGAAGGCAAGACTCGTGGAGAAGATTTATTTAAGAGTTTTGATGACTTCATGAAAAAATCGGATTTGAGTTATGATAAAATTGTATCAATTTCCACTGATGGAGCTCCAGCGATGATGGGAAAAGAAAAAGGATTGTTAAAAAGAATCCAGGATAATAATTCCGGGATATTAACTTATCAATGCATAATTCACCAAACATCACTTTGTAGTAAACTCAGTGCTACACTGAAAGACGTTATGGACGGTTTGATCAAGTTAATCAATTTTATCAGGTCGCGTTCTTCTCTTCAACACAGACAGTTCAAAGAGTTTCTGTGTCAATGTGATTCGGCTTATTCAGATTTACTACAACACAATCATGTTCGTTGGCTCAGTAAAGGTCGAGTAGTTGAACGTTTTTGGAACATTAAAGAAGAAGTAAAAACATTTCTAAAAAATGTAGATACTGAAGAAGCAAAGAAACATTCGGATTTCTTAGAAAACAATCGAAATATAGTTGCAATGGCTTTCTTAAATGACATTTTGAAGTATTTAAATACGCTTAATGTCGAATTACAAGGAGAAGGGAAATTAATATGTGATTTAATACAAAGTGTGTCTGCTTTCCGTCGCAAACTAAATATATTTAAAGGCGACATTGAACAAAAAAAATTCATTCACTTTCCCACAATATTTGAATGCAAAAATCATTCTGAAATTATAAACATCGAAACATTTTTAAGTTTTTTGTCAGATCTTATGAAGGAATTCGATGCCAGATTCAAAGACTTTTCTGAAATAGGAAAACTATCACAATTCTTAAAAACCCCTTACGATGTTCTCCCAGACGGAGAATGGACTGATGTAGCTGAAAAATTATTTAATCTTTCAAAGTCGAAACTCCAAATGGAAATAATAGACCTACAGGAAGATGTTTCCTTGAAGCAGTACAGAAGTGCGTCAACTGAAGAATTCTGGGCTAAAGATGCCATTGACAAGTATTCAAACTGTAAGCAACTGGCAATCAACTTGGCTACGATGTTTGGTTCGACATACATTTGTGAGGCATCGTTTTCAAAAATTAATTTTTTGAAAAACAAATATCGGACAAAATTAACAGACTCTCACCTTGAGGACACATTGCGAATAAGCTGTTCTCCACGAGTTCCCGATTTCAAAAAGCTGGCTAAGGAAAAGAAATGCAATTTTTCGCATTAAATAATTTACTGTAATAAATATATTTTTTTTCATACTTTTAATATTGTAATTTTTAATATAAATTAATTGTAATAACTGAATAATTATTTTTATTTTTATACTGCTATTTTTAATATATAAAGATTTGAAAAAGATTTTTTTCACTGGACCTCATTGATTTATTATTTTAATCTTTAGGACTCCAATAGAAATTACTTGCCGACCCCTGGTATATATTATATGTGTAGTGTATCTAACATAATAACAAAATTTTAAAATAAAACATTATCATTTATCATTGTTATACTATATTTTCTATAATAATGTGTAATATAATGAAAAAATATTTTTTGGGGGGGGGGGGCTTAAGCCCCAAAGCCCCCCCCTTGGGTGCGCCACTGCTGTATACAGTTTAGTTTTGTGTAAGAATGTAAGAATTTGTGTGGTGGTGCCTGTGTCTGGTCCGAGTGCTGCGTCTGTAATTATTATTGTCTGTTAGTATATTGCAATAATTCGTCACAATACTTTTAGGACTATCTACCTAATTTTATTATATTGTTAGTCACTGGAACAAATTTAACCGGAAACTTGAAATCTAATAAATTCATCTGGTTTATAAAATATAATATTTAAATATGAAGAATAAATATTTCATGGAATTATTGAAGTATTCCAAGTTCCAACTACAGATAATAGATAAACGATGACAGGTAGGTAAAAATAAATTTCAATATTGATCTCTCAAATCTCAATGGGCTCCAACTAAATACAATTTCGTATCAGAAATCATCCTTATTCCTTAGAATTGAAGATTAAATCATTTTTTTTAAATAAAACTTGTACCTACGCATACACAAAAAAACACGTCATTGTAAAGTCAATACATCCCCATTGTTTTACTAAGAATCTAAAAGACTTAACCTAATAACCTGGAAGTATAAAATAAGCACTACAGGTCTGCAGTGTATAATACGAATCGAAACACAAATCCTTGTTCAAATATTATTGTTTAATATATTATAACAACCCTTATATATCATTGATAATGGTCTTGGCAAAATAAACGGGCCGGAAATCTTAACGATAGTTGGTTAGAAAAAACGACTTCGCAACGACCATACTCGCGTCGTTGTGTACCCGTTGTCCGGGAAATGTTTGAATTTTTCGAGTAAACTGATTTTGAATTGAACTTCGAGTTCACTTGCAATTAAACGTCTGACCTGAACAACCAAAAATTAAAATGGCCACTATTGACGACTTTGCTCGAGAAATCGCCATAATGTTAGTCGAACGCGTAGAGGAAGAACTAATAACGCTTGAAAGTAAAGACAGAGAACAAAAACTAGAGAACGACGAAGACGAAGACGATAATATACTAGGCGACATAATTTGGTTGTTTATTGAAAATGAAACGGCCGAATGCAATGTCGAGGTAGGCAGCGGAGACGCTGCAGCTGTAGACACGACGCCCTCCGAGAAGCTCGGACCATCCGAGCAGGGACAAGAACTTCAGCAGGCTGAAGACTTGCAGCAAGAGCCAGGACAACAGAAAGAGGCAGACATTATTCCATCTGAGGGAGAAAACATCAGTGCAGTCCAACGTGGTAGGATTATAAGGCGGTTGTGCGCCGCCACTTGGAGAGGTGCGAAGCGCGTACTGCTCTGTGGTTGTTTCAGGAGGAAGTGAAGCCAGCGGCATAGCGAACCCCCTCCCCCCCAGATGAAGACACCATGACAAGACGGCGGCGACGGGGGAGTGGTACGTGAAAGAGCACTTTACGGTGCCCGGCGGTAAGTCACCCTATACGTTTTCCGGCCACCCGCAGAAAGACGAGATCGCAGTCGCCAGCGTCGCGAGCTCGCGGTTGCCGACACGCGAGACCATCAAGACGACTCGGCGAGGGCCCGACCGCTTCGGTCACACCAGGAGCCGATGGACGACGACGACGGCGGTGACTAGCTGTACCGGCAAGGGCAACGATACCGCCCCGACGGTACCACTCGACGATGGCAGTGTGCACGAAGGCGACTCTCAAAGGCGACGGCGGCGGAGACTGCAAAACACAACGGGCGAGCGGATACAGCTGCAGAGCTAGGAACACGGAAGTCAGCATCGCCGGACTCGCGGAAACGGATAACGTTTCAGGGTCCGGCGATGTGCGACTCCAGGACGGCCACCGGACGGGTGACTCGGTCGAGAGCCAGGGCGAAAATCGCGTGCGGAGGATCAGGACCTTTGCGGCTTGCTTTGCTGCGAGGTCCGACGATCCTCTCGCTGTGTTTTCGCCCAGTGGCAATCGGTCGGGTCACGTCTCCGGTCGCCGGCCGACTCCGTAGCGCCGACGCAGCTGGCTCTGCTCGCTCAGTGTTTTAGGTTTCCGCCGCCGTCGCCACGCATCGGTCGTCTTCAGTACCTGCGCACCGTCGATGCGCACAACATCGCGCACTAGCCGCTCGCCGTCAAATCGTCTCATCGCTCCCGTGGCCGTCGCGGTCGGGACTTCGCCAGCCGTCATTGATGGTCGTCACCCGCGAGCAAACGCACTGGCGTCTGCACTCGTCCGCCTGCGGGATGTGCCGCGAAAACGTATAGAGGTCACCAGTAGCCAGAATATTGCTTAATGCACCTCGCCATCACGTACCGCTCCCCCCGCTTATTGTGTCTTGTCTGGTGTTTCCCCCCCCCCATTAGGCCACTTTGTGCCAATTATACTTAAAAAAATCATATAAAATTACAAAAAAAAATAAGAAGATATCAAAAATAAAAAATACAAAAAAAATAAGAAGATATATCAAGTAAAAAAACAAAAAAAAAATATTCCACTTTGGACCGATTAAATATTGAAAATCATAAAAAAATACAAAAAAAAATATAAGATATATCAAGTAAAAAAACCAAAAAAAATAATAAGATATAAAAAAAAATAAAAAAAAAATACTTTTGATTGATGTACTTAAACTATAATAAATATTATTGTAAAACTACATTTATTTTGTTGAGTACACAATAAAATTATCGTCTATACAAAAATAAAACAATGTTTCTTTTTTACTTATTAGAGTGTATTTGTATATTTATATTTATTTCAACAGAATAATGGGCTCCACTGAACATGCCCCTGTGAGGGCCCATACAAAGTAATAACTACCTACTAGCAATGTTTTTGTCACGCATCAAATAAAGTATTGTAATAATATTTTTTGTTGGGTATTTTAGGGCAGGTAAATATTTTAATATAATAATTATGTACGCCGATGGAGCTCTTAATGGACAGTTAGCCCCAAAGACTCGTACTTACAAGTAGGATACTAGAATTATAATACTATAAATAAAAGGAACTCAAAATTTGATGGTATAATAATGTGTATTGAATTATTCACGAAAATTGTTGGGGTGGACGTCTCCACAGTATAAATAACAATTATAAACGCCGTCAAACACAGGTTTTGCGTACGTATACAAATAATAAATTTAAATTACAATAAATTAAATAAGGCCGTAAGTAGGTCACGGGGACACGTATATCCTACAATAATAAATACAAATAATAACGATACGACCGTGATATGTGTGAAGATAATGAGCAATATTGATAGTGATTTCACCGTCCGGTCGACCAGTAGTACCGCGATTTTGGAGGTTGATAAGTCCAACGACACTTGTTCGATGACGACAATGTTGTACCAATCGGTTTCGAACACGTGCAACCACGTGTAAATCCAAGTAACGGACGCCCGACGCACTATATTGCACAGTGCACCGTGCCAACCTCAGTCCAAACGACTGCGGAATTGGATCCACGTATCCACCGAATAACTCGCACACAGTAGGTATTACGATTGCAACACGAAGCACAAACTCGAGACGCCGCGGTAACGCCAGAACGCACGCGAAGTTCAACAATTAGTTACGCGGCAGTGCGGCTACGAACATGCCAGACGTACGGCAAGAGAGACAACAACGAACAGGCGCCGGCGCCGGACACACGGCGGGCGGCTCGGACGGACTTTGGACGCAATACGGACGCCATCGGCGTCCGTCGGTTCGCACCGCAGGTGACATAATGCGTACCTATCTGTCAACCGCGGATTGGGTACATCATTAGTGTTCTCACGAAGACGGCCAGATATATGAGTCGCGAACAAATTAATAGATAACCATAGATATAACTTGGCACTTTTACGTATATTATACATTCGACTGTACTCAATGGCATTTTAAAAATTGTAATACTTTTTACTCTTGGCCCCACAAAGACAAAGTAGGTAACAAATAGGACGTACCAAGTATCAGAAAAGATGCTGATGTAAAACATCAAATCATTTTTACTGCCTCAAAACGAATATTAAAAAAGCGAGTAATTGAATGTCGATCTGCAGTACAGTTGGTTACAAGTGGCCCTGCAAGTGGATTAATATAATGGATGGTGTTAAATTTGAATTCAATGATATAAATCATTATTGTATACGAAAAACGATTGTGATCGAAGACTGACTTTCAGCCTATAATATTACTAAGTAGGTATATTTTATGATATTATTGTGATTAATTTTAGTATTAGACGTTATAGTAGGTATCTACTAAAGTAGGTTAAATACATTTTTGCCAAAAAATCACATTTGAAAATGTCATTGTGTAGACGTCTTATAAAATATAATAAATAATAATATAGGTACTCTTAAAGTTTCACATAGGTACCCACAAATAATATTTTACCCTCACACCTAGAATGTCTGTCAAAGAGGAGACCATAATATAATATTATATTTATATCAGCAGAGTAACGCGGCCACGCGGGCACTGCCAACATAATTACAAATTTCCAATGATTGTTCAACCCCATTTTTTAGACAAAGAGAAGTTGGTGTCGCACTCTCGCACGACACGTCTTATATCGCCCATGTACACTGTAGTAATGTAGTATACTGTATAAACGTGCTGTGTAGTGTGTATCAAGTTATATAATACCTATATTGCAATATTTTATTAATTTTGGTTTTTACAGTGAAGTTTGTATGAACGGATTTTCTCAGCAAACGTCTACAGCGTGCGTATACACATATTAAATTCAAAATAATTGTATAGATATTATATAATATAATTATTATTAGCTGTATATTATTGTGGGGACCCACGACTGCTATTAACGTAGTAAATATCACATCGAATTGTGAGCCTCAAATAAATATTCGAACAATTTCGTTCGATTGTAAATCGTATTTTTAAATATAATATTATTATTATGTATTATTATCGTGTGTTTGCCCGGTAAAGTAGAATCCTGACCAAGGCCGGATTAAGAACCTATTGGGCCCCGGGGCTGAAATTTCATTGACAAAACATGCTTTACAAAGACGCTCGCAGGAACATACATTTTTCTAACTATTTCACAAATTGACAATTGCATTATAAAATTATAAAATTGATATGTAAATGTAATTTATGTCTATAAAGCTACTCATTTTATTGTAGTATAATAAAAGTCAATACTTCATATTTCATTAATTTAAATTCAAATTTTCATAATAATACTTTTAAATTCTTTAACAGTATATTCATTTACAACAAATATCAAACAAAAACCATTTTATCAAATACATTTTTTTTCTTGCTTTACTTGAAGCCAACACTCTTAGTACTTAATTTAAGTCTAACGATTTTAACAAATCATTCTAAAATATAAAATGATTTTTATGTCTAAGTTTTCTTGGGTTTGACTGGTTATTTACTTATTTTTTACTCTAGTTAATTTAGAAAAAGCTCTCTCGGTACATAAATAACATTATTAACTATTGATGATATTATTGATATCAATGAAAATTTTAAATAACAGTAGAATTCGTCTTTTCTACCACATAGTGCTTTTGTAGGTATTTACTATTTAGTTGTTTTTGTCGATAAAAAAAAAATGGTAATAATTTATATAAAACAATACCCTTTTCATTCGTATTAAATATTACGTTATTCAGTTGCATCAGCTGAAAGATCATTTTCTAAACTAAAACTTATCAAAAATCACCTATATTCAGTGGCGTATTTACAGGGGGGTCCATGGGGTCCGGACCCCTCCCATTGACTCGTGTCTCGTACATGTTAAATGTTGTGCAGTTTTTACATGATTAAAAAAAAATTTTATCATACAATTTTACGGATTGTATAAACAATTTTCGAAGCTATAGTTATATCAACATTTTCAATAAATATCGTGATTATTTTTATCAGTTGGGTACCAAAAATGGTTGAAAAATACCAAATTCATTTTTTAATTCAAATATTTTGTAGTTTTGTACATTGCCAGTATCTACAACCACCCCGAGAGATCTTTTTCAAACTTTTTAAGGTTGAAAAGCTATCTAAGATCAACTATGAATGAAGTAGGTACCTAATGTACCTAATTAAGGAAATATTTATATAAAAGTTATAACATATAACTATATATTTGATTCTGAGGGATCTATTGGTTCTACAATGGTGTTTATTTTTTTTCCTGTATACAAAATTTCTTCCAGAAGGAGTGCTTCGATTTCAACATGTATAGACATATAGTAACTTATCTTTTAGAAAATTGGATCAAGATAGTACTTTAGAGAGGTCATTTTTCGATTTTCTCAATAGTTATTTAATGCCACTGTAAAAACCACCAAAAAATTACAAAAAAACCGCTAAAAATGGGATTTTAATTTCTAACACTTTGTCTATCACCATAGAAAAAAATAAAAAATAAAAGTATTTCATTATTAATTCAACTTACAGGCTATAATAAATAATAACAATATAAAATATCCAGACTGACAAACCGTCTTCGCTCAGAATCGTTTTTCTTATACAATGATATTATGATATTATATCATTGAGTTCAAGTTTAATACAATCCATTATACATTGACCCACTTGTAACCTACTGTACAGCAGCAGAGTGACATCCACTCACCCGCTTTTTTTTTAAATTTGTTTTGTACATATTATTATTTAATAATTAAAAACTCGACAATTTTATATCGTCTTATAAATATGGTATATTTTATTTAATAAAGAGTAAATGGGTGGTGTGGGGGCTTCGTCCCCCGTGGCTCTGTGTTCTGAAAATTATCTGGACCCTCCCCATGACAAATTCCTAAATACGCCACTGCCTATATAACAAACTCAATGAATCAATATCGACTATCAAACATTGCCATTATTTTGAACATTGAAAAAAATAAAACTGAAAAATTAAATATAAGTAAAATAATAGGAAATGTTGCAAAATCAGTTAACTTATTATTTTTTTTTTTATGAATTAAATAACCTACCTATAATATTATAATTTGTATTATTTATTATTTTTAATAGACAGACAGACAAAAAGTAGTAATGATTTGTAAATAATGTAGGTAAATAATTTATAAATTACTCTATTCATGGTACCCCTTGGCTTTTAGTATCGCGATGAGCTTATAATTTACTTCCACTTAATGTACCTGATAAATGAACAAAATGAACACACAAAATCTATGTATATCTTTTTATTTTCTAAAAAAATGTTTTTTTGGGGTTGAAATTTTATTATTCATAATAACATTATGTAGGTACTAGGTACTTACTTCAATTCTAAACAATCAAAAAAATTAGAATGATACTTCCAACAAAGTACCCACCGAATTATTGTTTTCTTTATAAAGATGCTTGCTGGTATCTATTGTATTGTTGTATCTTGTATGGTACATTGGTACTATCACAATCGTATAATATACTCTATAGCACAGGGGTCGGCAATATTACTGGTTGTAAATATTAGCATTTTCTATACACGATAAAATTTTCAAAAAAGTTTGATTTGTTTTGAACAGTTTACAGACATTTTCAGTTTCTAATTTTTTTAGTTTTTTTCTATAAATGACAATTGTATTTGTTGAGTCATAAAGCGTGAAAAATTAATACAAGGCTCCTGATATATTATTACTAGAGCGTAGATTTGTATGGATTTGCATATTTATTCTGGTTGAAAGTATAATATTCTAAGTGAGCACAAAATTTGTTTCATGACAGTATGATTTAAAAAATTTAACTTTTTAGTGCATATTTTTGCATACTTCGACATTAAACTATCCATTTTTTTCTATTTTAAGGGCATATTATTTTACAATTTTAATAGCATATTTCACATTTTAGTGCATATTTCGATGTTTTTTCATTATTTTTTTTATACATTTTTGAAATATATATTATTGCAGTCATATAATAAAAAATAATATACATTTATAGTTTCCATTAATATCAAAATAAATTATTAGGTATACTTGTAGGTACAACCGGTTTGCTCAAAAATGACCTTAGATCAATAATTGGTGAAATAAAATGTGCATACCAAGATGGCAAGATAAGAAAATATCGATTGTGATCATTGACCTTTGACTGCAATTATTATTGCTTTCCTTGGTAATTCCCGTTTTTATTACTTAATATATTATTTTAAATAAATGCTCAAAAAATAAATTTTTTGCTAATTTTTTATGCAGTTTTTTCATTTTTCATGCATATTTCAACATTTTAGTGCATCCATATTTATGCACATTTACGATTTTTTAGAGCATATTTGGTTGGTTTTTAAAGCATATAAATCCGAGCTCTAACTATTACGATGGTAGGTAGTGGAAACATTTTTAAAATAGATATATGCCAATATTTTTTATAAGTATTTAAAGTTTGAATTTTAACTAAATTTATCAAATTTAAAATTTAAAAAATGGCTGGTTTCACCATCTAGAGTTAAAGTGCGAGTAACTGGTATGTATATATATTATATATATATTGCTCTGAATTCTGATATGGGTATAGTAGTTCTTGAATTGAGTATGTCAGTCGTCACTGTATAATGAATATTGTGTTAAATTTGAATTCAATGATAAATCATTGCATACAAAAAACGATTTTGAGCGTAGACAGCCTTTCAGGTTCAGCCTATAGCAGGGGTCTTCAACCCGCGGCCCGCCCTGTCATAATATGCGGCCCGCGATCACATTTGAAATTAAGCATGTATATTTTCTATTTCGATAAAATTATAACGGCTAAGCCATCGCTATCGGAAATATGCGATAAGATAAATTTAATTATACCTACACAACTCACTTCCCATGTATGTCAAAATACAATGTTACTTCAACAGAAAAATATGCAGAAGCAATTTCTGATTTAAAACACCAGTTCAAGTTGAGGTTCTCAGATTTCAAAGCTAATGAAACATATTTTAATTTGTTTTCAATTTCATTTTCATTGCCAGTTGAAGATGTCCCAGAAAACATGCAAATTGAGATCATTGATTTACAAAACAATAAAGTATTAAAAGAAAAGTACAATTATGTTGAACTTTCAATTTTTTATTCAAAATATATTAACACAGAGACGTATCCTAATCTTCGAAACAACGCATTAAGAATGATGTCTCTTTTTGGCAGTACTTACACTTGTGAACATATTTTTTCACGAATGAAAATTGTCAAATCAAAAAATAGAGTTCGGTTAACTGACAGTCACTTGGAAAGTTCACTTAGAATTGCCTCGTCGAAGATCCAACCAAATATAAACAAATTAGTTAGTGAAAAGCAGTGTCAGTTATCACACTAAAAATAAAATAAAAATTTTGTAATTAACAAAAAATGTTTATCTATATATGTTTAATAATAATAATTTGTAATTTAAAATGTAATCTTGAAAATTTTAATAATAAAACTGAATTTTTGTATAAAATACATGTTTTTACTACGAATGCGGCCCGCAAGATTATTAAAAAATAATACGTGGCCCGCTGCATAAAAAGGTTGAAGACCCCTGGCCTATAGTTTTACTAAATATATTTTATTATGTGTGTACCTATTATGACAAATATTATTTTAATAAATATTAGATAATTACAATATTATAATTTACTAGCTGACCCCAGGGGTGGATCTAGGATTTTTTTACGGTGGGTGATAGTTTGTGTATAATGCTCCTAAGGTACTTATTAGTTACTATATGGAAAAAAAATTAATAATTTGAAGCTTAAACGGCTAGGAAAATCAGTCTCGCAATGTGCATTTGTTTTGGATGTTACCTACATAAAGGGTATGACATATCCTGGTATGGATGAAGTGGTCACTGAGCCGAAGCCAAAAAAACGTAGGTCACTCCTGAAGGCACTTGGGAGGCGTATCTTGAGTGCGGCCAGAAAGTTGTGTTGCTGCGGTGGCGGCGGCGATCGACGTGTACGGCGGCGAGCTCATGGACACACCGTTTGAATGAATATTTAAAAATGTAGGTAGTGTGTACAAATCATAGACCTTATGAGTTATTTTAATTAAGGTATAAGGTCTATGGAACAAATACGAATATGTGGAAACCGTTTATACATGGATACTATATGTATTATCATTATTGTTTGCACGAGATTTTATGAGAATGACGATAAAGATATTAAGAGGATGTCACAACCGCATGTGTTGTCTCTGTACAACATAACAAAAACTGTTTTGCGCGGGACAACTTTTATCTTTCTGTGTTTGTAGTAGTAGCTCCAAAATTTCTGAACATATAGGGTGGAAAATGATCTAGGCAAAGGCAACAGCTCGCCCATATTTTAGATAACATAAATACAATAAAAGTTATTTGCTTCTAAACATTTGGTTTTTTTCATAATTTGCTTATAAAAAAAAATGATGAAAGATTGGATAGTGCTATTAAAAAAGCACTCTGTTGCACGGATAAAGTTCTTCTTTACGTGTTGTGAAAATTTTGTAGTTCTACAATAAATATGGTGCCAGAAAAGTTGTCCCGCGAAAAACAGTTTTTGCTGTTGACTGTTGTACATTTGTAAGATGGAAACAACACATGCGGGTGTGACATCCTCTTAACGCTCAGCTCAGAAGATGATACGATACGTTGCAAGGGCGTCAGCAGGAATTTGTCAAGGGGAGGGCAAAATATTTTCCTTTTTGTCTCACTATCCTATTAGTTATAAAGTATTTTTGCGACATATTTTCTTTCATATAGACAAGGAATGTAAAAATATTTATGAATTATACGTAAGTACATATAGTTAGTTAAAACTTAATCTTAATTTTAATTAATTGTTGTGTAATTTTAAATTATCAAATATATTAAACATATAAGGAATTTATATTTATTATTTAGATAGTAATAGATGCATCATGATGACGTAATTACATTATTCGATCTCCTTAAAATAGACAGCTGCAGTGTAGTTGTATCTCGGTGTGAGTAATGTCCCCATTGTTAGCTGTGAAAACCACAAAACCCCATCCGAAAGGCGAAAACGTTTCGTGCACTGACATAAAATCTTTGTTTTTTCCAAATAATACAAGTCCGTCGAAAATCTTCGTAAAACGATTTCGGCTTCGACGCATGTGCTACACCTAATAACTATTGCCTTTCGATATTTCTTGAAAAAAATTTAACATACCTAATGCTCGCTTCACGTTCCTTGGGTTTGTATTTTGTACAAATTATAATGATGTTATATTAACGGTGTGTCGGTTCAGTATAGCCTTATTAATTATTTTAGTTATATATATTATTATTATGAGTTATGAACAAAAATAAAAAATATAATCAAAATTAATTCGTAAATTTTTTTTATTAATTTAAAACTATGACAATTTTGTTTTTAGCATTAATGCGTTTTTCTGAAACTGCAACTTTTCGGCCCACGACCTGCACCGCATCGACCGGACGATTCGAACAAACTGTCGAATAGAAACGCTGGTGTGAAATGTCCATTTCCGCGGCTTTTACAGACATACTGTACACCAAAGACGACGAGAGGACCTTTTGAGGTGACGGGCTGTCGGATCAGGACGCCGCCCGGTGGCCGCCCGGCCTGTGGGGGGGTTCTCGTTGAGCCGCTACGACGGCGCAGTGCACTACAAAAACTTCCGGCCGATTGCGGTTCAGTGCTCTGGACGGTGCAAGAGGATGTGCGGGAGCTCGACGGCGATGATTAAGGCATGCAGCGGCGGCAGCAGTAGCAGGATCAGGAAGCAGCTGGTGGACGAGTCTGAAAATCAGCCTTTGCCAAAGGACCACGATCACGAAACGCTGCCCACGTCCGTGTAACCGGCTCGTGTTCGTTCTGCAACGGGAAGGCGTTCGGCCTGTAGAAAGCTATTGCAGGCTGCTGATCGAGGTGCTCGCCGTACCCGGAGATGGTGACAGGAGGAACTTTGGAAGTGACGGTGAAACTCCAGATCAGAGGGTAAGGAGCGTGACGGTGTTGGCAGTCCAGAGAGCGCGACATATGGCTTCAAGAGTTCCGGCGAGTAGGTATATAGTTAGTGGAAACTCGCCGGTTAATCGTATATTATATGCTGAAATTATAATTTTACTGAAAATTAGCAAAGTGCTCTCGATTTTTCGACATTGTCATAATATTGTCTATGATTAATTGTAAAGCTCTTAGTTCAGACTTCAGAAATACTGTATACTTATATAACTTACGTATGTTATGTTGTAGTTATATTTGGTAATGTTTAGTTTGGGTTAGGTTGATTAGTCAGTTGTCATGGTCCTGGTTGTAATGTAAGTCATTTGTCATGTAGTCGAATCGTTTAATTTTTTCTTGTCACGCATCTCATGGAACTGCCACGACGCTTCTTACTCCCCTCAGTTTCACTGTCACTTCTCGTACAGTTCCTCCTCGACAATCTCCGTCTCCGACACCAACTAGGACATATATGCACCTCGATCTCCGCGCCTGGCTTTTCTCATCCGTTTCGCCCGGTCGCTTTCCCATAACTCCACTGCAGAACGAACTCCGTCGTCGGGCGGGCCGGTTTTCCGGACGCCGGAAGCATTTCCGTTACATATGCTTTAGGTGGTCCTTCGGCAGCTGCTCATTTCCAAACTCGTCCTGCTCCTCCCGATCCCTTTTCGGCTGCTGAAAATGCCGCCGTTGCATGCCATATCTTATATTTATCTCGAGCCATCCTCTTGCTCCGCCACCTGATTCGCTTTCGGCTGCATATGTTGTAGTGCACCGCCCCGAGCCGTCGTCGCGGCCCCACGATAACGTATCCGGGTCACCGCAAAGGCCGGTCACGTCCCTGTCTGGTCCGACAGCCCGCCGATGGTCCTTTCGTCGTCCTCGGTGCTGCAGTATGTCTCGTTATAGGCGCCATTCCAATTAGGTTAGGTCCAATAATGGACATTCCCTATAACCAGCGTTTCTCCTTAAGCTTGTCCGGTCTTTCTTTGGTCATGCGCCTAGTCAGTGTAAATAATTGATTTTAAAAAACTTATGTTTAAGTAAATAAATCCCGTTGCTACGGTCCAAGATAATATTATTTATAATACTATGACATTATTTAACATAATATTATTTAGTATTTAGCACATTTAAAACGGAAAAGTTATTTATTAATTCGATTATAGCCAGATGCATATTATATTAACTGTTTATTTATACGATATTAATGTTATACCTACCTTATAAGTTATAACTAAAATCTGCAGGTAATTAACACAATAACGAGCAATGGATATTATATAGATTATGGAAATAATCTCAATTTAGGAGGCTCAAGTGGCTATGCCCTACCAAAAATTACGCACAGCCTCCCTCCTAAATAAAGGAGACTACAAAAGCTTTTTCGATTTCCTCGTTAACCTGAGGACTGTTGCACATACGAAATGTTACCGGAAATTACCCGCATTTGCAGTTTTCAGCCATTTTCAGTTTATTTGAAATTAACAATACCTACCTCATACCTGTTATATTCTCCAAACATAACGCTGTGGCGAATGTTTGTTCGAATTGCATTTTTACGGTGACCTGTTGCAATGGAAGACCATTTAGTTTGGGACTGCAGAACGAATATAGTCCACACCCAAAGTCACGATCGAATTGATTTGTTCAAAACAAATCAATATTTTTTGAAAATTTTATAGTGTATAGAAAATACTAATATAAACAACCAGTGAAAATTGTATGTATCTACTGTCATTTATTTTAGAGTTATACCAAAAACCAAAATCGATTTTGTCGAAAAAATTGAACGATAAACGCAAAACTTGTAGGTAAAACGATTTAATTCTGAATAACGATCAATTTTGCAAAAATGTTGTACCTAACGTTTTAATTGTAAATATATAACATAAATGGAATTTGTTTTTTAAATGCAAGCCCCGCTTACATATATTATGTACAACCTGTCTACCTTTAATATTTTTAAATACCTAGCTATAATAAAATTTATAAGAAACCTTGAGTTATATTTTCAAACTTTTTTGACTGAGCGAAATATACCTACGTCTACATATTATAGTATGTAGTTATCTTATGATCTATAGAATACGATCGGTAATAATATTAATTTTTTGTAGACCATAGGCGAGCCAGTCTTATAAGTACCTAGTCCAGTCGCAATACAATAATGTATAATGATTGAAATACCTGTAAATGACATTGAAGTATAGGTACCTATTTAATTAGTTATCATTACTAAGATGGTAGGGATACCGCAATATTACACAACGTAAAACATTAATATATAATCAACATGACGTCATGACTACATAGTAATTTTGTGCTATAGCCCATGCTCCATACACCATTAGTCCAGTGGTTTTCA